ATTTTCTTTCCATTTTTGCAAATATAACACTGCAATTATTACTTTTGCATTTACAAAATGTAAACGATAATAATTGTAAACCTACTGCATAAGATATTAATTTTAATTTAAAAAAAAAAAATAAAAAGTTATTGCAAATTTAACTCAACCCGCTTAAATTTAGTCTCTAAAAATGAACTTTAATTAAAATAATGCAATAACAATAACAAAAAGTTAAACAACAACAGCAATAATGACAATAATGATAATAACAACAGCAGTTATGACAGTGATAACAACAGCATCAATAAAACAACAAAAATAAAAACAATAATAAAAATAAAACAACAAAAATTGTAACGGTAGTAATAGCTAATAATAACAATAAAAACAACAATACCAACAAAACAACAACAATAAAAATGATAGCAATAATAATAACAATAGTGATTGCACGGATATTAACAACAATATTAATGAAACATTAACAACAATGATGGTAACGAAAATGATAACAATATCAATAAAATAACAATAATAAACATAATAACGATAATAATAGCAACTATCACGAGACAGCAATGATAACAACAGCATCAAACAGCAAAAATGATAGCGGTAATAATAACAGCAACAATAACAATATCGATACAACAATAACAAAAGCAACAAGAACAAACAACAATAACTACAAGAATGATACAGCAATAACGATAATAACATTAACATAAATAACAATAACGGTAGCAATTCGTACAATTTTACAAATATTAAATATTTGATTGGGACGTTATTTTTATTGTTCTCTGGTTGAAATGATCAGAGATATAATTCATGACTGAATATCAATCATTAATTGTAGCAAATTAATTTCATTTATAATTTCTATCTACATGAATAATTAAAATAAATCAATTTTGTTTAATTTTATTTATTACATGAAATATACATACCATCTGCGTAAAATGGCTTAATGATACGTTGCATCGAGGTACCATAAGCACCCCAATTAGGATGCTTAATATTGTTGCAGGTACCATCAATAGTACGATACTTATTAGTTGAGCATTCAATTCTATGCAATGGACAGTACTTACGAATATGTTTTAAAATGTTTGGTAAAGCATTGATTGACTTAATGCCATCGCTGCAAAGAACTGCAAATTTATAAATTACTAAATAAACAAGTTAATTGTTAAAAGTAAACAATTTATAAAAACTAACATTTATAAATGTTGCGTAATTGAATGAAACAGAACAATTTAATATTTAAATATTACATTGTGGCCAAAATTAGTAGTAAATTTTTTGGAGATTTCAGCACAAAATTTTTGCATTGATGCTTGCCTTTATTATATTATCTTTAAGTTACTTGAAACCATCTCAAACTATTAATTAATTTATATCAATTTTGAAAAAAAAAGAAACTAAACAACCTTAAACCTAAAATTTTTTATAAATTTCGAAATGCATCACCTTTTTTGTCCAATTTCTCTTCTCATAAATGAAAGAAGCCATTGGTTAAAATTCATTGAAATTTTAAGATTTAAATATTTAAAGTTTACATATTTATTGCAAAAACTGAGTAGAAAGAGAAAACGAATTCAAACTTTCGCATTTTTTTCGTAGCAATGATTGAGATGAGTGCATCATGCGCAAATTTTTGAACATTTAATTCACTTTGTGAATGCAAATCGAATATTTTGAATGGCATTCGTAATTGTTCCATTACATCTGTAATTCTGAATAAATGTAATTTCTGTTAATTTGATTAATTTAAAAAATTTTACATTTCATTTTATGAGAAAAATATTGAAATACACATAAATGATCGAACTTCTGCTTTGCAATGGAAGTATTTCATTATATTGTTTAAGCTCATTGAGCATTTGACGTGTTTCATTCATTGCTTTTGAAAACATTTCATCAATCCTTTCTAAAATTTACAATTACAGATTAAATTTTATAAAAAAATATTCCGATATAATAGTCTGAAATTTCAACTTATTACTGAAATGCACTTACAATGATTTGAAGCTATCATTGTGGTATATCGGCCATGAATAATTATTAAAAAATTCAATTACCATATTTGAAAGTGAAATATAGAGTTTTAAACTTCTACTGACAAGATGAAAAACAAAAACCTATCAAGTGAAAATAGTTTTTCTAAACATTTCTATTGTAACTTTTCTTAGATACTGTAAATTAGGAATTAATGTATTTTAGAAAAATTGATTAAAGTGCCATTCAAACTTACCTTCTTGCATTGTTCTATTACCATGTCCGGAATGTATAATAGTTTTTAGTATTATCAAAATAAATAATTTTAATAACATCTATAAAATTATCAAATCAAAAGTAACCTCAAAGCAAGTAATTTGAAATATTTAAAATGCGAATGAAGGAATTATCAATGATTACAAGAATTAATCAATATAACAAAAGGTAAATGAATAAATTTTTCATTAATTTGCACAAAAAAAACGAAGCAAAAGTTTATTTAACCTATCATTCAAAATGGAAAATGAAAATGAGCCACGTATTAATTAAATTTCAGAATTTCAATTTCAACAACGCATAATAATACATATATGAAAGAACTATGAATCGAATTAGCACAAGATATAATTTATTGGGTTGAATTTGCATAAAAAATTATTAACAGTCAAAATATATCATTATAATCTTGCAATTTATTACAAATATTTATAATTCTTTTATGATATGATATTCATGATGCATATTCTTTGATGATTTTCATTATACGAATGAATTATCAGTGATATTAGCATGAATATAATAGGCTTTATAATTCCTTCATGATATGAATATTCATGACATACATAGTTTAATGATATTTATGATATGAAAGAATTATTAATCATACCATTGGAATAATTCTGCAATTTGTAATAAAACTTTTAAATTTCAATATTAATGAAGCGAAACATTCAGCAGTAAACACAAAAATTAACAAGAAATAGTATGCCAAAAAAAGAAAAAAGAATGGGGAGATTTGCAAAATAATGTTATTAAATTTGAAAGATTAAATCAAATCAATAAAATATAATTAAAACAACTTAACTTTAAAGTAATACATTGAAAATAATATATGATTTGAAAGAATTATAAATTATATCAGTTCAGAATATCATACATTTTTTTTTTTGAACAAATAAATATTTGATGACAAAATTGATAATGGCAGCAACTTTTTGCTGTTACTTTTGAAATGACAAAGATATGATTGAATTGTTGACAATATAATTTTTAGATAAACATGATTATGACTATTAAAATTTAATTTTAATTCAGTGTAAAAAAATTTAACAATAACAAGCTTAATTAATTTTATTTTCATTTTCTTGACTAATTTTGTTTTCATTTTAAACCATTCAACAATTAGCAAATTAATAAGTGTTTGTAGTAATTTGCGAATAGTTGAATAATTTAAAACAAAAATAAAATTGATAAATGACGAAAAAAGAAACGGACACAATAATCAAAGAAAAATATGCCAGAGGAATTGGATGTACAAATGATAGAAATTAGATATGTTTATATTATTCAACAAAAAATAAGCTAAAAAGAATGGAAATATCAATTAATATTTTATTATAATATTTTATGCGGAATGCACCTTAAATACAGGAATTAGCAACATTTTATACGAATGAATAGTTTGCTTGCTTGTTTTTTTTTTTTTAAATTTTTGTCTCATAACTTTGCTGCTATCAATAAAACAAGTTTGAAGATAATTATTTGAGGAGAAAAGATATGAAATGCTCAAAATTACATTCTTTCCTTCTGTCTACAAAAGTAGGACATTTTTATGTCAAATTAATGAAATTTTTTTATGTAAAATACAGACTACGTAAAACATTGGAAAAATTGAAGATGTTCGAAAAATCATAGGATTTAATTATATAGGAATGAGGTTAATCGAAAATATATATTGGAGCAGTGATAAAATTTAAATTTAGCTTATTTTCGGTTCATTTATTTTATTGTTTTCATTATTATTTATTTGGTTTGTTTATGCAATAGAAAATAGTTGCAAAAAAAAGATGAAAAAACTGGAAAAATATTTCTGGCAATGATTGAAAGTGACATTCTCAAATTTTCTCCGCTTCTATTTAAAATGAAAATTTAAATGATGCAATTATTATAACGATGGCTTTTATGAAAATACAATTTTAATTCGAACCAATGTTTGTCACAAAATGGCATCATTTCTTTTTTTTTTTAAACTTATTCCATAAATCAAAAATTTACCATTAAAAATTTTTGAAAATTATTAATCACGAAGCAAATACTTGATTTGCTTCTATTCTCATTAAATTTCAAAATATTACAGTTTAGCAATGATGTTTGCAAGTGTTATAACATTTTTAATATAATAATACGATACTATA